TATTAAATGTCGAACATGTTTATTATTAATAATTTTGAGCTCCGTTGAACCGGTTTAAGTGATTTATTAATTAATAAGCTAGGTTCAAAATAAAATTTTGATTATTTGTGAAAAATTCTTATAAACTACAAACTTAACACAAACAAATACATTTTTAAAGTAGGTATAAATGTAATATTGTACGATCTTGCTTATGGACATTTTTTTTCCAGAAACCTGTATCATTAGAACAGATGTGAGCATACTTAAGGAACGTACGACGTAAATTATACTTAAGTAGTTTTGATGTACTTATTTTCCAATGCATTATGCGTCTTTACACAAATATACGAATGTCGTATTTCAATCCAAGGTCGAGTGAAAACATGAACAACCTGGCCTGGTCGTAGTCGTATAAAGATGTTTCTTTCACTTACAAAATGATCTTGGTATTATAGTGCCAAGTTAGTGATTCTTGGTAGCGCAAGTTCGTCTTTAATATAACTTAGTTCCGAAATGTACTTGAAAATGTTTAGAGTCGTGATATTCTTAATCATCAAGAATTTGTTGTTTTAGGTGTAACACCTAAAAGCTGTAACTATATATAGTTACTTAGTATTAATCATTACACCTGCCTTTGAGAAGGAGAAGTGTATGAGTAACCAATATGAACATCGACCTGTTAGAAAAAAAAGCATCTTCCTGTATTGGTTGGGGCTGTGCGTTGATAGATCACTATGTCAGTCAGTCACCTTTGAGTTTTATATATATAGATTTAGGCATGCTAACAACCACAGATATTGATACATTAATGATTGAATATAAATATAAAATAATACTATACAACTTTCTTATATGCAGACCAATTATAAGCATACACTACAATCACAATAAAGTTAATAAACAACTTTATACAATTTGACTAATTGACCTGATCATAAATCTTTATTCGGCCAAAATTTGTATGGAAACTTGAAAAGCAGCGCCACAAAGTACGTAACGAGAATTAAAAATCAGTATACATTTGACAATGACATTTCGCACTCATATTGTGGATAAGATGATTGACTGCGTTAATTTATTCAAATAGATACACAACACAAAAGAAGAAGAGATTATTTCGTTATTTATTTATTTATTTATTTGGCTATTTGTTGTACCAAAGGCTCCTTTAATATTAAGAGCAAAAATCTTTTACCACCATGGTTATGCGACTGACACCGGTGGCTCGGGTGCTATGTTACAATGAAAGAAGATCGGGCAACTAAGCACGCTTACCCTGCAATCCCTGGAGGGCTGCTGCCAGTTGAATATCCCAAGTACCATCGCTAAGATCAAATCGTTAAAGACATACTGGCTCCTAGAAAATAATAATTGACAGATAATCGCGCAGAATAGGTAACACACACACACACACATATATATATATTCAACGACCTCCGTGACCGAGTGGTTTGTACGCCGGGGTTCATGGTGTCGCCGACTCGAGAGGTCCCGGGTTCGAATCCCGGTGGGGGCAGATGTTTGTGTGATGAATACGAGCATTTGTACTCCAGTCCATGCATGTTCTATATGTATTTCTATATAAATACTCGTATACTGCATATTTATTCTATCCGTTACCAGTATCCCATAACACAAGCCTTACAGCGATTACTTTGGGGCTAGGCTAATTGGTGTGAGTGTTGGAAAATATTTATTTATTTATTATACATGTTTTTCATTTCATTTTAATTGATAAGGTTTCTACTACTGTTTGTCATCATCGTGGATGTTTAATATGTATTTCTATATAAATATACTTATATATTTTTTAATTTGACTCCACAAAGTGAATAGATTGATCCTAAAGCATTTGTTTAAAGACTCATAAACGCTGTAATTGTTTTATTTCGACAGCTATTTATGTAGTTGTCCAAATGTTCAAATCACCCTTATTTCAGAAATCCCCACCGATAATACCATGTAAATATGATAAGAAGTTTCACTTATTATGTAAATGTAAAAAGCGCAAGTAGGCTATGGAAGTCACCAACAGGCGTGTAAGCCATTGGAATAAAAACAAAAATTGGAAGAATTTCTCTGCACTATTATGATCATGCTACTGTTTAATAATAAAGTGAAATAAACGTAATTCAACTGGATTCATTGAAATTTTACTATCCGACTCCGCAAACCGAAACGTTTATATTTATTCCAGTTCGAATCCTAAAGCATTCGTTTAAAGGCTCATAAACGCTGTAATTGTTTTATTTCGATGGCTATTTATGCAGTTTATCGAAAATATAAGCGCAATCAAAACGTGGAGTGAGTGCGAAGGTTCGCTGTGCGACGTACAAACCGCAGCGTGGTACTCCTTTTTTCGAAGTACACCCACAGCCGACTATGTTTATTGTTACCGAAGAAATAAGGCTGGAATTACCATGGCACTATGGACAAAGAACGATGGAGGTGTACGTGCATCCATTGCATCGTAATCGCGTGGGCGAACAAGTGGTAATGCCATAGACTCTGGCCCAAGGTGCGATCGTGAGAGCTAAAACGATTTACTACATCATACGTTCTAAGAACACAATGTGAGGTGACATCTTTCAGAGAGATGTTGCATTTTGCGGGCAAACTACATCAAACAATGCAACGACACGGTTGTTCTGGACCTTTTTTGAAATTTTAACGAGGACCGTGCTTGAAGGTGTGAAGTAGAGAATGCGAGATGCGGACAGCGGACACTTTGCAAATTTATATACTTTTTGATGTCTACCAAATGTGGACTTTCAATTAAGCTTTCCATTTATTTATAATTATGAACTATAATTAATAATTAACTTAAATTAAGAAAATGTTACTGGAAGACACTCGGTCTAGGTTTTACACCGGAACAGTACCGAATGGATTTTTCTAATAAAATTTTCATTTGATTGAAATATTAAGTAGTTAATTGCATAAAATATAAATATAATAACCTCTGTATCTATCAATAAAAATATCGTAATATTTACTCACTACTTTGACCTATATTGCCACCACTTAACATCAGGTGGTGTAGAGCCATTTTATTACCTAGTTATAAAAAAAAATGGGTATATATTTAATGCGCATTTAATTGCAATAATAAATAGAAACCTCATTGATTTTTTAAATAATAATGATACGTGTTAATATAATTATATAATATTTTCGCCAGTAATATTTAAATACCAACCAATATAAGTAACGACCGCATAAATAAAAAACAAAAATAAATTTGGTACATTGGTTTCTTATTCGGAATATTTGATGCTTGGAAAAGTCTCAATAGCATAATTCAGCTAGTAGTGCGTGCGCCTCGATAGCTAGAAAACTATAGAACAAAATATTTTTTATTTGTAGGCCAAAAAAAACATGCAGTTGATCTGCTAAATTAAAAAATATTTTATCATTAACAATAACATACTTGTCCCACTAATATTATAAATGTGAAATTTTGTAAGTTTCTTACTAAATGACGCAAAAACAGGTGAACGAATTTGGATGTAATTTTGTACGCATATAGTTTACTAGCGGTCGCCCGCGACTTCGTAGGCGTGGAGTTAGTTATATGCACATACTTTTTGACCCCTGTTCACTGATTGTTCCCCGTAGGTGATAGCGTGATAATATAAAGCTTATTTGATGCCCGACTTCTTAATAATACTCGTGCCAAATTTGAAGTAAATCTATGCAGTACTTTTTGAGTTTATCCCGGACATACATACAGACAAACAGACAAAAATTCTAAAGACTATATTTTTGGGTTCGATATCGATTGTAGATCACACCCCAAGTATTCTTTTAAAAAAATATTCAATATACAGTTTTGACTTTCCTACCATTTTATTATACATATGTATAATAACAGTATTAAGACATGGGATACTTTTAATCCCGGAAAATGTTAGGTTCCTATGGGATCCTCGAGGCCACTACTAATGTATATTGCAAACAAGGTGGGTTGTTACCTGGACTAGCCTTACAAGTTTTATTGCGGTATAAAGGTTACAGAAAAAAGAAGTTGAAACTCTTAGTATTTTGCACTAAGAGTTTAGATTTAAACATCTAGCAGTTAAATGCTTAAAAAATAAAATAAAAACATAACTAAGAGTTTGTTCGAGTAGAATGCAAAATACACCTATTTGTTTGTACCACAAACAAAATGAAGTGTCGAGAACTATTTTATCTTGATCGTAATATGCCAGACTAGATTTTTATTACATGCCCACTTGTTAATATATTATTATCTTCACTTTTATCGACCATATAGAATGAATCTAGTTTGATCTAAAAAATATTAAAGTCAAATCAATTTTAAGATATAAATTATTATCTAAAGATTCCTTGATATATTAATACCTAAAGTTTCTTTTAAAGATCTTGTTGCACATGGAAGAGTGTGATATTCAACATAATAATTGTGGACAAAAAGTGCAAAATTTAATGATGTTGAAATACATAAAATTATTAAAATAACATAACGTATGGACGTTGTCAAACAAAGATGTATACTGCGTGCCAAAAATAATAACTCTAAGAGATAGAAGTTTATAGTTGACCATATTCTGGTTGATGCACTAAGCACATTATTTTAAGCAATCTCAGGTCACCGTTTACTGTTAAGATTCGCAGCAGTCTTCGCATTCGAAAACCTCCCGTGTGAGGAGATGCACTCGCCAATTCTCGCCTTGAGGTCCCCTTAGGATCTCGCCGTCCCCAAACCCGGTGATGCTGTAAAGGTCATCTGCGACCAACAGCATACATACTCAAAAAAAAGCAATGGAAAATTCGGTTAGTATACTAGTCACATGGAGCACCGGTGTTCCATGAATAGTCATAATGATTAAAAAATGTCGAAATGTCCAAAAAGTGCCCATAGCAGATATTAATTTGACAACAACAATACTTTGCGTTTGACACACATAGACACAATAACTCTGCCAAAAAAAACTTCAACGCTTTTTTGACACAACATCAAAAGTCAAACTTTACTAAAAGGTTGAACGTTGAAAATGCCACTAATAAGTAAAGTAGTAAGTACGGCGCCGGAGCAGAGCCGGGTGCTTACCCGGTCGATGAGAAGGTCGTTCGAGGGGAAGACCTGTTTGCCACAAACTGGTGGGGAGACGGAGGCGGAGCCCGAGTCTACGGAGGCCGAGCCAGAGATGTATGTGGCTGCGTCTGCGGCCCCCAAGGTGCCCAGAATCACCAACAACCTTCGGGGAGGAGGTGGAGCCCACTTCGTGGGTGCATCCCGGGCCCGTAAGGATGCAAAGTGCATGCAGGATGACACGTCGGATTTCGACTCGGACATGACAATCGAGGGTGGAAGCTCTCCTCGGCGCCGGTCGTCCAAGGCGTCAAGCGAGGGGAGCTACAAGTCAAAGCCCTCTGCTGAAGCCCTCTGCCAAAAAGCAGAGGAAAAAGCGAACGCCGTTCTGAGAGTGGTGCAGAAACCCGGCAACCTGAAGGGAACATGTGCTCGGGATATCAGGGAGGGGATGGATAGCCTCCTTGGAATCGTCCGAGAAATCGCGACGTGCACCGCCTCGTCCGAGGTGACGAGGCTAAAGGCCGATAATAAACGGCTCCGCGGCCAGATAAATAAATGCATGGCGGAGCTGCAGGGGCTGAAGCAGCTCCTTGCAGGCCTTGGGCACCGGCTTGAGCCCGCGGAACAGGAGCGGCCAATGGAAGCTGAATCGAATGGCGTCTCTAGGGCAGAACTTATGCAGGTCATGGGGGTCCTGCAGCGCGATCTGCTCCAAGACGTGGGGGCCGTAGTCTCCGTAGCTAAATTAAAAAATATTTTATCATTAACAATAACATACTCCGGCCGTAGACTAGAAGTTGATGGGCGGCTCCTGGAGGGCCGCAGTCATAGACGGCCGTTGGCCTCCTCCGAAGGGGCGCGCCAAAACAAAACACGGCATGCGGAGCCCGGGCAGCAGGCACCCACCACCCTCGCCCCACCGGCTAACATGCCCAAAAAGGCGCAGGAGGGGGGGGACTGCCCTGCCCAAGGTGGGCAAAATCCATACGGGGGCCCGCGGAACTGGGGCTGCTTTTGTCTCGGTCCCCGTAGAGGCGGCGAGGCGCCTTGAAAAGGGCAAATGTAGAACGTTGGGCTGGAGCTCCGCCACTATCCGGCTACTGGATCAAAAGCCGATGCAGTGCTTCCGCTGCATGGGGATCGGACACCCCGTGCAGTGCTGGTCCTCCGATTGTGACCGCAGCGGGCTGTGCTACCGATGCGGCGCCGAGGGGCACAAAGCGGCGACCTGCACAGCTCCACTTAAGTGTGCCATTTGTGCAGCGGCAAAGCGGCCGTCTAATCACCGCATGGGAGGGAGAAAATGCAACCCCCCCGCGGTCAAAGCCTGACTAACACGGGCCTCAGCAGCCGAGGTCCCACGACCTATGCCTCCGCCAACATCTTCACCGGCGGAGGCGACGGAGGAGTCTATGGATACGAGCAATGCCAAGCACGTCCATTGAACTGCTCCAAATCAATGTGAACCACTGCAACACAGCGCAGGACCTAATGCGCCAGTCAGCGTCGGAGTGGAACGTGGGACTGGTGATCGTGGCGGAGCCCTACTACATTCCGCCACGGTCACCTGAATGGCTAGTGGACACCAATATGTCCACTGCCATCTTGCGGCCGCCGGGCAGCCCAGGCCCCTCCATGGTCCTCAAGGAGAGGGGTGCTGGATACGTGGCTGCCAAGTGGGGGGAATTGTGGTCATATCCACATACTTCTCCCCCAACCAGAGCCGAGCGGAGTTTGAGGCCTTCCTTGCTGCACTGGACGGAGCGGTGCTGCGGGCGGCCCCCCTCCCGGTCCTCTTGGCGAGGGATCTCAACGCCAAGTCTAGGGCGTGGGGGGTCATCCGCCATGAATTTAAAGGGTGGAGATCTGGAGTCTTGGGTTCTGTCCCTGGGGCTCCAGATCCTCCATGTGGGCACGGCCCCCACCTGTATCCGGTGGAACGGTACGTCGCGGGTCGACGTTACCTTCGCCACCCCCTCCTTAGCCAACCGTATATCAGGCTGGCATGTGGAGGAGAAGGAGACCCTATCTGACCATTTATATGTCAGATACCGGGTTTCCTCAACATCCCGCGGGGCCCGCACGACCGATGGCCCCGCCGTGAGCGCGTTCACAAGATACGCGCTCACGAAACTCCGCCCCGAACTGGTGGCGGAGGCGGCGGTGGTGCGGGCGTGGGCAGATGCGCCCTCCACCTCACCGGGGATGTTGACGGCATGGTGGAGCTATTTGCAGACAACATGAAGGTCGTCTGCGTAACCGCCATGCCAAGCGGGCCGGGCCCGAATCTGGTCGAACGCCAGTTCGGGTTCAGGCACAACCAGTCCACTATGGAGGCGGTGGCCCTTTTAAAGGTGTGGACCGAGGCGGCCACTGCGTGGGCTGAGGCTGTTATTGCGGTGTCGTTAGACATCCGCAACGCAATTAACAGTCTCCCCCACGAGTGTATCATGGAGGCACTAAGGTTTCCGAGTGCCTCCATACCTGTGCGCCATCGTAGAGGATTACCTACAAGGCAGGGTGGTCCTCTACGAGGGGCCTGACGGGCGCATCCGCTCGCGGGCCATGGCCGCAGGTGTACCCCAGGGTTCAGTGCTTGGTCCACTTCTCTGGAACCTGGGGTTCAATTGGGTGCTGCGAGGCACCATCCGGGAATGGAGGTTGTCTGCTTCGCCGACGACACCCTTGTCGCGGCGAAAGCAAAGGAGGTGGAGGATGTGGTACGCCTAGCGTCGGTCGGCACATCAATGGTCGACGGCCATGATGTTCCATGGCCCACGTCGCAGCACCCCTCCGGGGCTCCGTATCCGGGTGGAGGGGGTCTGAATACCGGTCGAGGGAAGTATGAAGTACCTCGGCCTGGTATTGGATCCCCGATGGAGTTTTGAGGAGCATTTTAAGCTCCTCACTCCACGGCTGTGTGCCGCTGCAGCCACACTCGGCAGGGTCCTCTCGAACGTGGGGGGACCAGGTGCTGCGTGCCGTCGACTGTATCACGGGGTGATACGGTCGATGGCACTTTACGGAGCTCCGGTTTGGGCTGAGTGCCTCAAACCCTGCACGAGGGCCCTCTTGTGACGTCCGCAGAGGGTCGTCGCGACCCGAGCCGTGCGAGCGTACCGCACGGTCAGCCACGGCGCCGCCTGCGTGCTTACGTGACGCCGTGGGACCTCGATGCGCTAGTTCTGGCAGAAATGCATCGAGGTCGGGTCGAGGCCAGGGAGCGGGGTGAAAGACTTGCCCCAGCAGAGCTGAGGCAGGTCCGTTCCATCGCCGAGAGCGTAGCTTTGAGGCGATGGGATGAGGCACTCGCCCATGTTAGCGCCGGCCACCGGACGATTGAAGCCATTCGTCCGGTGTTGGAGGAATGCTTGGGTCGCCAGCGCGGCGGCCTCACGTTCCGCATGGTGCAGATCTTGACCGGGCATGGATGCTTCGGTCACTATCTGCACCGTGTCGCACGTCGGGAGGAGACGCCCCAATGTCATCATTGCTGCGCCCCGGACGACACGGCCGAGCACACCTTATTGGAGTGCCCGGCCTGGCCTAGGCCGGGAGACTGCTAGGTGCGGAGACGCGGAAGAATCCCTAAACGGGGATCCCGCAGCTCTGTACTAAGCAGCTTAGAGGGTATTCGCAGGACTTTTTTAGCGGATATTATACCGTAAAGCGCCCGTAAGAGTTGAGAGGGTCCTTGGTGGGCAGCCACTGGGGGGTTCGTAAGACTTGCGGGAGCCAGGTGTGAGGTCCGTTCGGCGGTGTGCCTTTTAAAGGCGACGTCGTCTGTAAAAAGATTTTTTACCTGCGTAATAAAAAAAAAAGGGCAAATGGACGTTGACAGTATCTTGGTTTCGGGATTTGGTTAATATTTTTCATGGGAGGACTCGTAATGTATTGAGATTATATCCTCAATTGGCAATCTTAAAAAAAACTATCTAAAACATGAAACACCAAAATGAGAAGGTTTTTATTCTAGAAAAAAAATATGAAACACGTTATTTATAATACTGCTATAATATTACGTACCTACATTCAAAGACTTCTGAAGTAAAAACGCTTTAAATTTTAAGCGTTGCCGTCTCTTAATGCGTACCAAAGAAGGAAAAACCTTGTGCTTAGAAACAATTCCAACAAGCAGAATTTCAGTCCAATTTGTTTAATGTTTGTCATTGAGGAGTTCCATTGTTTTATCTTCGAAATAACTCATCGGATCTACATCTAAATATGGGATAATTTCAAAAGAAAACTTCTAACAAAAATAAATAATCATTAAAATGTCTTCATAATTCATGACATAATTGTGTATAATGAACACATACATTTGCAGTAGAGTAAAAATGTTTTATTAGTATTTGACTGCATTAGTTTATGATAAAGTCTAAACTATACTTCACCTCGTAATAAATCGCTCCAATATTTACTGTCCAAAACCTTACCTATTTTAAATTTCTTAAGAAACAGAAGTGTAGCATGAACTAAACTATAGCTGCACGTTTGGGTCGGCACAGTAGGTTTAGTGTATGTAACCTCATGTTTGACCGACCGTACTTACCTAAAGCTCTGTTCAAGTTGAGTGTTTTAAGCGAACAGGTAACACCTACTAATATTCTATTAAAACTTTGTGTGTTGGTTTTCTCGTTAAGATACTTCAACAGAGATAGCTCCAGCCTTGCCTTAACACGATGAATAAATGAGTTTGCATATTAAGTTAAAGAGGTTTTTACCATATTTTAACATACATGTTCGAAAACAAATATCAAGAAGTTTACTCAGTTCAAGTAGTTCCAAAGCAGTTGAAAATATATTTTTTTAACTTTTGCTGAGATTTTTGTAATTATAAAATAGGGTACTAAATCAAAGTTGTTAACAAACACTTTCTTGTTAAAAAAAATATCTAGATACCTTGCACTGAGAGAATTGGTAAATAACACTGCAAAACTTCTTATTGCTCTCAAAATCTAGAGATTTTAGACAAGATTTTCAATATCATATTATTAAGATCGTTACATTGGACTAGGAGAAAATAAAAATCATGAAAATTTCAGTTGCGAAACAAACACCATGGTGGTGACTTGTTACTATCATCTGAGAACTAAGACACTATCATCAATCATCATCATCAACAGCCTATCAGAGTCCACTACTGGACATAGGCCTCTCCAAATGCACGCCACTCAGATCGATCTTGGGCTACTCGCATCCAGCTCCTGCCAGCCACCTTGCGCAAATCGTCACTCCATCGTGCCTGAGGACGTCCTACACTACGTTTGCCTAGACGCGGTCTCCACTCCAGAACTCGTCTACCCCAACGGTTAGACACTATACTACTTCCAAATTCATGCCATCGTAGGTAACATTTCATTGTATGAGTTATATCACGAAACGGAAGAAATCAATAATGTAAGCTTACAAATACACACATCAAAAGTGTCTAGGGATCAAGCATTTTTATGCGGATTTCTTGAGATTGAGATGTGGCTTTGTAATAAATTTATGATTTTATAAATTTATATGGATCCTTTTCGGTGCATTTCATAATTTGAATCAGGAACTGTGAATCAAATTCGAGTAAAAAATGAAAATCAGCTGTCAATATTTTCCCTATAAAAACATACAACGCATTGAAGACATTATTAGTGCTACTGTTTCCCTACTACTGATTAAAACCAACGTTATTATGGAGCGGCGACGTCATTTAAGCAGGGAAGAAATGCTCAGAGCCGTGGGAATGATAGAAGCTGGTTCCCGGCAACGTACTGTGGCTTTAGCTCTGAATACAAGTCAGAGTGTTATCAGTCGACTTTGGACACGATACCGAAGCACTGGTACCGTGGCTGAGCGCCATGGAGGACGGTATCGCTGCACCACACGGAGACAAGACCGATACATTCAAATCTTAACTCGAAGAGCTCCAACAATAACCGCCATGATGTTAGCCGTGAGGCTTCATCACTCTTCAGGGAACTTAATTAGCGACCAAACAGTCAGAAACCGCTTGCATGAAGTGAACCTTCATTCCCGAAGACCGCTACGGGTACCACCTATAGCAATGCACAATCGTAGGATTCGATATCAATGGGCTCTTGAACACAGAAATTGGGCAGAAGAACAATGGCGTTTCGTGTGCTTTTCTGATGAGTCTCGTTTTGGTATGAGACCGGATACAAGACGTATACGACACTGGAGAACCCCTGGACGCCAACAGCGATTAAAATCCTGCCAGGAAGTCCATCCTTATAGTGGTGGAACCATCATGGTATGGGCGGGTATTTGGATTGGCGGAAGAACTGAGTTGATTTGGATCAGAGGCAACCTCAACGCTCAAATTTATGCTGAGACGATTGTATCAGACGTCATCGTTCCTCTACAAGTGCAAATCGGTCCCTTATTTCAGTTAATGCATGATAATGCACGACCGCACACCGCAAGAGTTGTAAGACAGACTCTCGCCGCAGCTAACATCAATGTCCTGCCCTGGCCTGCTCAGTCGCCAGACTTGAACCCGATTGAGCATGCATGGGATATGCTACAGAGAAGAGCTCTGCCGAATATGGAGGGTATCCAGTCGCAAGAAGACCTTTTTTTGTTGTTGCAACGAACATGGGCGGCCATTCCACAGCGTGATTTGGATGAACTCATTTTGAGTATGCCAAACCGATGTTCTTGTGTTGTTAGTGTTCGCGGTAGAAATACGGATTATTAATTGTTTAAGTTACCCAATAAAATTTTAGAGAAAACTGTTTTTCAGTCTTTTTTTCGAACTTTTGTGTTAGTGGTTCAAATGTCAAAAATCCCTTTATTAGGAAAATGGCAAATTTCTTTATTAATGCAAAGGTGACTTGGTTTATCGTTACTGTGACAAACGAAAACACTTTATTTGATGAATCCTTAAAGAAAATTTTAATTAATATCAATCAGGAGAAAAGTTATTGCAAAAATATATGTTGATCCCTAGACACTTTTGATGTGTGTATAAGCAAGGACTTGATCCAACTAAAAAAGATCGCTCAAGAAGTTTTTAAAAGGTATTTTCAAGAGATCTTTATTCGGTAACTTTAGAATTTTTTATACTTTTAGTTTCTTGGTAAAAGAATAATAATAATTTAAAAAAATAAGTGAACGGTATGCCTGCATAACTGCAACGGACAGCGTCCAATAATTGAATTTTGTGGTCACCTCGTGTATTCTTCGTAGCCTTGCCTTGTCAACAAAATTAATGTGCTGAATGAAGTCTTAAAACTAGAAAAGAATATAATATTATATCTCAGTATTATTATCCTTATTCGCTTATTTCGAAGCATATAATAGGGTAATAACCCTGTTAATAATTTGTTCAATAAAAACCGGCCAAGTGCTTGTCGTGCCATGCGCAGTGTAGGGCTCCGTAGTTGCCTGTGGTTACCACAATATATTTGAGCAGGAGTATTTATTTTCTATATTAAGAAAAAACAAATAATGTCAATCTATGTATCTCAACTAAAATACCTAAATCAAAGTGAAACTACGTCTCGAACTCAAAATCAATTTGATATTAATTTGTTTTGATACGAATGATCACAGCCTATTTTTGTTGTTTCCTCCCAGGCGGGGGAGCGGGTGTGAAATCCTCATGGATACCCTATTTCCCCTTGATAATGCAGTATAACCGCCGATGTTTTCAAGTGCTTATATACTTTTTACAAAAACGTAACGTTAGCGCGACTCGGAAGCTGTTGCCTGTTGGTACTCGCGGTAGCGTTGCGGAAATAATTATATTTTATTGAGGTTTTCAAATAGTTTTTGAAGTGAAACTTCTTTACGCAAGCTTGACCGGGGGGGTAAGCTAGCGAAAAAAAAACTATCTTAACCGTTATAGTTTTCCTCAAAAGTTCATGAAAAGGACTACTATCATGAATTTTTCCAGGTTATTTAAGCCAATAGTTTAGCTTTTAGAGGGGTAGGTTTATAACCCTGGAATCAGAGTCAGACTCAGACTCACTTAAAATTATGACCTTATTGTGATCGTATCCAGAACTATCCAGAACAAAAATAGTATGTAGGCTATCCACAAAAATATATATTAATATAACACCTAAAGTCAAAAATTGATATAATAAAATACTCGCCGATACACATTCCTACCTGAAAATACTTGTAATTTTTGCTACCTTTAAAGTAGAACACAAACTTTAAAATAGCTTAATATTATCGAATACTATAAGCGCTCTCATACTTGGCTGCAGCATCGGAATGCAATCCAGGCATAGCTGCGGTGGACAGCGCGGACGGCGGTTGATAATTGCATTTTGTGGTCGCGGAGTGCCCCACTTGCTCGCGAACATACGCGTTCAAATGGAACGCAAACAAAACTTCTTGGGTTTTCTTAAAGCAATCCCGGTGGGACGCTTAATTGAACCAATTGAATTTCACATTTAAGAGAATCTTCCGATGATTGTGTTTGCTTCATATGATCAGAACAAATTTCCGCATTATAAAATTATATTAATGAAGGTTTTACAGTACCTACTTTAGCATCACTCTCGATAAATATTTAGCTTAACAAAAATTACTTAAAACTTTGTCGACTTAACTTTTGCTGCTTATGCAATTTATAAAATAAGACGGCTTACAGATGTCGACACTGCTAGGACAATATACTTCAGCTACTTTCACAGCATTATGTCGTATGGCATTCTATTATGGGGCACGGCCGCAGACATTGAAACAGTTTTTATTCTTCAAAAACGAGCTATAAGAGCTATTTACCGCTTGGGATCTCGAACTTCTCTTAGGGATAAATTTAAAGAAATAGGTATAATGACTGTTGCCTCTCAATACATTTACAATTGTATATTGTTTATGCGTCAGAACATAAATTTATATACGAGGCGCGATGATGTACATAATTTCAATACCAGAAATAAAGATAAACTCAAATTGCCACCATTGAGACTCCAAAAGGTTCTTGGTTCATTTGTGGGTCAAGGTATATGTTACTATAATAAAATACCAAAAGAAATAATTAATTTACCTTTTAATAAGTTTAAAGTGTGTATAAAAACATGTCTCCTTAAGAAAGGTTACTATACTGTAAAAGATTTCATAAATGATAAGTCACCTTGGGCTTAACATAATAGACTGTCGTTTTACTTTGCTAATTTGGTTGAAAATTGTTTAATCGCCACTTCTAAATTTAAAAATAGTACCTAGTTATACTTAACTTTTGTTAATTAATAATATTAATGTGATGGAAGTTGACATCAACACATGTATTCAATTTTTGATGTCATCTTTCAATTGACGACACTGTGTGAAACAAAACAGGGAGAAAAAAATAGCCCTTGCTGAGTTTCTTGCCGGTTCTTCTCAGTACAAGGTCTCCCGCCGTAGATTTACGAACCGATGGTGTAGCGTTTGACTTTCACAAGAGCTTGTAACAGCCTAGACTGAATAAATGAGTTTGAATTTGAATTTGAAAAAACATTTAAAATAAATTGGCTATGACAAATCGCTGTCATAATGAATGCAAGAATAATTTTACAGTAGAAATATAGAAACACTTTAAGAACATATCTCAAGAACCGTCAGCTTGCTTCTTATTATCTTTCATTAAGAATTTGATCCTTGGCATGGGAGCGAGTTAATAGTCTTTTGCGATCATATGCCACAGCCGGATCTGGCACAAGCCACCTATTGTCGCAAAAATGAAACCTCCCTGCCCAACGATATTAAACACCGCCCGTCGGTAGCCTGCCACTAACATTCTCTAAAATATTGGACTTCATCGAAATGTCAGCCATATAAATGCCTTCACCCTTCGTCGCGCTCGAGAAAAGAAAATGGTAAAAGCAAATGATACCTTGGACGAATTCGAAAACGGATAGAATCAAATGCTAAGTTGGAATGGACCAAGCGTTACGATTTCAATCACATCCCGCCTTGGAAGGTACAGTCAATCACAAATCAAGTTAATATGTAGAGTAAATTTTTCTTCACCTTTTGGATTTGTGGTTTGAAGTCGAATTTGGCAATTGTAGGTACTTGAACGATGAGCTCGTTAGCTTAATATATTTTTTTCGATTTCTTCTTTGCTCGGAAAGGTATAGCATTCACCAATCCGTACTGCGACCAAGTTGTGGGTTCCTGATAGTTCTTGTTTTATATTTCGATACACAGGGAAAGCTTGTGCCCCAGCGGTGTGCATACTAATAGGCTTTATTTTGCCCTTTCCTAAAAAACCTCGGTCAAATTGATTTTTTAGATTCATAGCAAGTTTTACTCGCTACATTTCACGGGTAAGTAAGAAATACCTATAAACATCCATGACTTAGGTACTAATATGCTTGTATTCATCACATTTGCCCCACCGGGATTCGAATCTGGGACCTCTGAGTGCGACACCTTGAAAACCGGCGTAAACACCACTGAAGCCACGGAGGTCGTCATATAGTTCAAGTATTTTAATTTCAAAACAAGAAAACAACAAATAATTCACTGGAATCGGCAAATAAATCTCGATACGGCTTGAAAAATGAAATCCAAGAAACATTTGCCCGCACGATTTTTCGCGGCAGAATAAAGAGAACATTCCACCCGATTGACCGAGACTTATTGCAATAATTTCACCATTTACCGCCTTAAGGACGCCCGAATGCACTAGTCATGGCTATTCTTTATTAAAACTAGTGAAAGTCCCCCATTGGGCAGGACAGCAAGAACAAAGGCACTAATTCCGAACAGTTACCGATAGCATCGCGTCAGTTCGAATCGCAGCTTTTAAACGGCGAAACACAAGAGAAATGTCCTACAAATTGCATCGTACGTCGAGTCGAGTACAATGTACAGTTGCATCGATAGTTATATTATGCGCAACCGGCCACGGGAACAAAGTGGCCGTTCGACTCTGCCAGGAAAATACTTCACAATGAATTTTTAAGCGAAGCTGTATACACATCGGAAGCTTGTAACTGCTTGCTCGGCTGCTTTTACACGATGTTTATCGATTTTGCGTGATTAAAGTGTCTAAATTGTTATTTGCTATAGTACCGTTAACTTTTAATACTATCTTACAATGTAAACAATAGATACAGTCATCAATGGATATTTATGATACAGCAAATAATACTGAAACGCAATAACGCATGGTCGGGCATATTGTCACCAATAAAATTATATTAAATCTTTCACTTGTAGATGATTTTAAAGTAACGAACATCTTCGTTTTCTAAACACGTTTATGGAAGTGAATGCACTAATTAAGTATTCCTATAATTACGCACTGAAATTATTAAATCACAATTTATAAGTTCGTTCAAGGTGCGCAAATATAAAAATATGCCATTTAATACAAAAAACACTTGCAATTTCTATTGCTCAAGTAGTAACGACTAAATGTAAAATATAAATGAAACATTAACCAAACCGCTGAGAATAGACAACATAGCAGAATCAATATGTCAATTCTATGCCGCAAAGGACAGTAAATCAGCCCCCGCATGTCCAAACAAAAGAAAATCCTTAACTATTATTTTTTTACTTTATTAGCAATTTATCATAGTGAATGGACATTCCGTGCTGAAAAAAATAAAATTAAAAGTTCTGTAACTACTACACAATTTGCTGTCATGTCATCAATTCAGATTTGCCGCCAATTCACAAAAACAAATGACAAATATTTATTTGCAATATACTATATTATATTAGGTTACCAAAGAGTTCTAAAATTGAAATTCAAAAAAGTTTTCATTTGCATTGTTTTTAACTGGCCAGTACTATACATTTTCAGTGTTACCCACGTAAAAGGGAAGGAAATAAGTCTCTCATGTCTTTTCAACGTAGTATTGGATTTATCACATTATAGTTTTGGTGTTTGTTTTAATTTTCTTTTAAGTAACCATTAATCAGTTAACATCCGGTAATCAAAGTCGTCGAGGCAAAATGGCATTACAAGTCGCGGCATGTATATTTAGCGGTGAGAGAAATTGGCGCATGTTTGCATTTTTTTTTCAAATAAGTATTTTCTTTTTATTGAATTCTATTCCAACCGTTTTGTAATAGATAGCGTTAAAAACTGCAATATACGCGACCATAGGTATTAATCAACATTAGAATAGAACTAGGTACCTCTCCTTAGGTAATAATACTAATATTACTTATCACTAGTATTTATATTATAATTATAGGTAGCTAATTTCTGAAATTATGTAAAGATAGTTCATACTCCCATCCCATTTAATATCTGCTTACTTTTATGAAAATCATAATGATACCAGGCACATACCTAATAACCAATAATAAAATATACAAACAGGTAAATGGAAAGCCTTTAAACATTTAGTTTGAAAAGAAATATATTATTAAACAAGTAGGTATAGGTATCATAGGTGACAACTGCCAACACTCATAAATCAATATGAATATGAGCTTTTATTATTTTTGTTGTTAATTTCATTTAACCTTCATTTAATTCATATTATTAATCGAATATCGTTTACGATTAAGCATAATAATCAAAACCCCAAAATCTAATACATTTTGTAGTAGGCCACGGTTCCTCAAGTTGTCCGTATTTCAAGTTCAACATATGCCTGATGAGAGTTTATGAATTATTCCAAACACAATTAGCATTTTCTCATTGCTGTGCGTTCTGGGGCATTCAATGTATGGGGAACGAGCAATGTCCTTTAGGACGAGAGCAGACTTAGATCTTATAAATGTTCCATGTTATTTGCGAGCATCATGATAATAGAGTACTTCCTAGTTATAGAGTTTTGCTTATATTGATATTATTATCTGAATGAATATCAACACGAGTGCGTCTGAAATCCGATGGTAAGGGGGGAAGCGAAATGAGCTCGTATACTCCTGAGTACCGTCTCCGAAGTACCTACACCCTGTAAAAGACAGAGAGGCAGGCAACCTTACGGCGTTGATCCGATTGGTATCAAAAATATAATAATAGAATAGTTTTATTGTTACAAATTTAAGTAAATCATAAACTATATAAATAAAAGCAAATAGCTAAAATGTGTTTTAAAAGCTCCTATAAAATATTACCAATTACAAGAAAAAAGACAAATTACTACCGTTAAGTATTCCAATAGAGAATATGAGAATAGAGTTCCAATACTGATGACTGCTCAAAGGAACTTTTTGCTTTAATCTGTATCCAAATAAAGCAGCTCCGCGCTCCAGGTTCATCCATTGAAGTGTCGCACGAACGAGGAACACAGTCAACAAATTGCTTTAGCTCTACTACATCGCCTGTCCTGTCCACCCATAGCTGCCTGTAATACTGAGCATTCAGAAATAAACAACGCAGCAACATTTGTTCATAGAGAAATTTCAATTTTCGATAGATACCTGTGCACTTTTCAATTTGACAACCGGTTGATGAATATCTTGATATGAGTCGAGTTATTGATGTCAAATCTAAAGTCTTGTTTCCTTGCTTTTTTTTCTGAATAACTATAGCTTTAGGGGGTTATACTTTTGGGGTCAGGTCTAACATGGCGAGATTGCATATACCTATATACTATGCGGTTTTACCCGCATTTATTTGAGGAAAAAGGGTATAGACATAAGCTAACGTTTTTTTGCAGATCTTTTAAAGGGGGACAATTCCGTCATACATGTTTTTTGTACGACTTTTACCGTTTACGCAGCGCACGCAACGGGAACTCACAAAAAGTTTTTTTTACCGGTTTTGCAACATTTTTTATTGGTGTTCCGCTACTATTAGTTATATACACATAGTATTATGTTATATAGCTTAAAGAATTTCTCGATATATGAAATGAACAAAAAATACTTTATTCAAATTAAATTATTTGAAGCTTTTAATTGACTCTTCCAATATTTTTTCCTTCTGAATGGGTTTTCAGGACTAAACTGTACTATTCATCACAAAAATAATTATTCAAATCAGACCAGTAGTTTTGGAGACTAGCACGTTAAATCAAACAAACGGACAATAACACAAAGAAACCAACTCTTGAGCTTCATATGAGGTTAGGTCGTTAAATAAGGTCTTCAAAAAAAATTAAATACACTGACCTGCAAAACTAAGTATCACATTAAATAAAACTAGTTTTTACGGGTTAATGCACGAAACTTTATTTATTTATTGACGTTTCGCAGCCTTTAAAAATCTTCCAATGAAATAACCGAACGCTCAATATAAGTCTTTCGAAGGTAGCTCGACAATTTTAAATAAAAAATCATTATTCTGACGATGCAGACCTGAAAAGGCTGCGAAACGTCAATAAATAAATAAAGTTCCGTGCATTAACCCGTAAAAACTAGTTTTATTTAATGAGTGATGTGCGTGAAAACCTAAGAAACAAATAAGTATCACATTTTTGAAATTTCAATATATTCTAAACTTTAGAAGTTACAGATTTAAAATAAAAAACTTTTGAAGCTATCAGCTTTCTTTGAAAGTGTAGTACAAAATTAAACTCTTTTTCGAGTGGTTTTATTTCGAAAGTATATCTTGTATACTTAAAAAGTAATTGGATTTTAAAAGTGTGATACTAATTTTGCAGACCAGTGTAATTTTTTTTTTATTATCAAAGTAATTATCCAAGCAACCAATGCATTTTTGCCAATGTAGTGGTAGCTTATTGATGCCCATTTTGAAAAAAGTCTGCTGGACGGGAGGCAAGAAATTCTTCAAAGACATTTTGAACTGCCTCTTATTTATTGTTTTTTTTCCGTTAAGAAGTTATCCAAATTCTGGATTAAACCATAAATCTGTATGGGCAAGGTCTGGTGAGACCGGTGGATGACGGAGAACTTCCAACCACAGATCTTGTAACTTAGAGAGCGTCTGCTGTGCAGTATGAGGTCCTGAGACTCGTGCTCCTACACGATTCGACGATCGGAGCCGAACGATTGACCAAAGCTTGGTTAGAGATGTACGAGCTACCCCATCATTGTGTTCAGTTCTTCACAGTACACATCTGCAGTAATGAATTGTTTAGGTGCTAAACCAGGATCTAACCTACTTGCTAATCGCTTACGATTGTTGAACTGAATCCATGTTTTGTCGCAAGTAACAATGCGATTTAATACGCCTTCGTTTGTGTGCCTGTTGAGCAGTGGAAGGCTCAAATCGATGCGTACTTCGTGCTGGAGATCATTCAATTTGTGGGGCACCCATTTATCAAGCTTTTTTTTTTACATTGCCAATTTGACGCAAATGGACCAATATTGTTTTGATGCTAACATCAAAAGCTGCTGTCAATTCAGCTGTAGATTGAGTATCATCAGCTTCCACAATCGCCTTTAATCTGTCACTGTCGACTAAAGTTTTCGGTCGACCATGGAACATTTAAAAGAAAATGCTTTTAAAATTTGATTTTGCAGCCTATAAAATACTAGAAAAAATTCAATAAGGCCATGAGGGTCGCGTTAGCGTAATGGTCAGTGCATCCGCCCGGATAACGGAGGGTGCGGATTTGAGACGTCGGAGGGTGCGGGTTCGAGACGTCGGAGGGTAGACGGATATGTCTGCCAATAACAGCCTACCCGCAAATACTTCACACTGCAACATTGCCGAAATATCGAAACTCTGCGAATACGTAAAAAGAACACTTTCTTGTTTTTGTCTTCTTCTCAATAATTTGTAGGTAGGATACACGATACACGTTACTTCAGATAAAACGTCATTAATGTCAAATTTTAGAAATCATAACACAAACAAACATACAAGTTTATACACTTACCACTATTTCAGACTCCTAGTATACAAAATTCCGTGAAATCTGCAGTCGGTATAAATTGAACGAAAAGCCTAGTACATAAAAATTTCAACCTATAAAAATCCCTACCTACCTATCTACTACATATAAATT